CCTGCCTTTACAGTCTCTGACTAGAATTAGATCTGTGTCCCCCTAAAGGTGATTTCTTGAGAGGAAATCTGTGCCCCACCCTCAGAGCCACAGATCGCCAAAAGCAGCTGAAATTGGGGCAGAGACCAAAGCCTGTGACAGCCTGAGCTGGGCCTTCCTGGGCATTACTCAGTGCTCAATAGGAGGGTGTTTGAAACTGGATTTTCTGGGCATGTTTGTGCTGCTCTGGGTATCAGTGCCCTGATGTGGCCTCTGGCCCCGTCCATGAGTGTCCCAGGGGCGATTATTGCTCATACTAACAAGTTCCACTCCTTCCCCATTACAGATAGACACCCTGAGGAATTTGCATTTCACTTCTTGGAAAATAAAGTGCAATTAAACCTGTATTTTTTTTCTTGCAGTGGTTATACTTTAGTCCAGCTTCATCTGTCACCTGAAAACTGACTTAGCTCTGACTTAAATTTGGAATAATTTGATCTAGAAGGTGTTCTTGTCTCTTCCTGTTGTTGAAGCCCTCTCCTGGGAAAGGAGAGAAGGTCCCTTTGTGCTGTGGCTCCTGGGGCTCCCACTCTGGACTGTGGTGGTCACAGAGGGCACTTGTCTGGTTCCCCTCAGGTTTTAGGAGAGGGGATCTTGAGCATCTCTAGGGCTTTGCAGAGCCCTGTCCCTCCTGAGCTGCTCTGGGGCTGCAGGAACGCTCAGCTCCACCCTGCCTGGGAGCCCTGAGCAGGGATTGGGGTTCAAGATTTGAAATATTTATCCCCCCATTCAGGCCCAGCAGGAACCATAACCCCTTCCCCACCACCCTGGCAGCTCCCTCTGCCTCGGCCTGGACTCAGGGTCCGAATTAACCCTGTGTGTCCTCTGTGCCTGCCTGGGCTGCCGGGAGGGGAAGGGGGAGCTCTGGGCCCCCAGGGCCAGAGCAGCCTCGGGGAGGGAGGGACGGGCCGGGCCCAGGCAGGACGATGCTGCCTCTGGGGCTGTGCTGGGGCTAATCCCGGTCCCGGGGGCTGAGCTCTGGCCAGAGGTGGGTGAAGCACGGAGGACTTTGCTGAGGCTGTGCCCATGGGGGGGTTGCTGGGGGCTGGGAAGGAGAGGTCACCCTGCTCCATCCTGACCCTGGTGCTCAGCCCGTGCCGAGGCTCGAGGACTCACAGAAAAACACCCGGACGCGGTGCTGGGCCCATGGCTGGCTTTAATGGCTCGTGTCTCTGATGCTTGAGCTCTTCCCCGGCTGCCTCTTCCCTCTGCGGGCACCGTGCCGGGCTCTCTCCTCCCTTTGGGGTGCCTTGTTACAGCTTCGCCCTCAGGCCAGCACAGCGGGGCCCGGCCCGTCCCCTCAGCCCTCAGCGGGGCCGCACGAGGCGCGGCCGGGGCTGTGGCGGTCCCCGGGCCCCGGCGGTGGCCCCGGGCCTTCGGGCACGGAGCGTGAGGGCAGC